CTGGGCTTCTTTGAAGAATAGCTGAACATAAAGCAGTATGAGCACCAAGGTTTTCTGACATTGCACTGGTGGTCTCAAAAAGTTTGTAAGGAAATCTCCCATAACCACAGGACACTGAGGGCTTTCCACACAGATGTTCCAGATGTGACACAAAGAAGTAACAGTGGAGATTAATGCCAGGAGCATTGCTGCAAAAAAACTGAAGCAGTGCAGGGAGAAGTTTATAATCTGACATGTGTTGCCAAGGTGATTCAGTCCTTCATGGGGGTTAAACCTGCAGGAGTGCTTCTCCTCTTCTACGTCTTTCCTGCTGCCTCCAGTTATTTGCCGATTTCTCCTGCAGGAAAAGGGGACAGACTGCCAGTTTGCCATAAACTATGTTTGGATGATGTGCCTTTTCCAGTTAAAAAGTGCAAGTATATGTGAGGTGTGAGTGCATGAAGCTTGCAAGAGTACTAATGAAGGGGAGATAAGGCATATGAATGTAAGGGCCGATGACTAACTGATCACATTTTCTTGTAGATGAGTAATTATGATCTACTGAATTTTAAATGGATGAGGCGTGGTTGCTAGGCTATGTCACTTGAAGATTGAACTCCATCATCTTTGCAACACATCTCTGATTGTTAAAATTCTTGCTGCACTGTTTCAATGTTCTTGCAGCATCACTTCTTACTTTCACCCTTGCCGTAAGCAATCTTTTTGCCATTCTCACTTTAGCTTCCCATAGCTAGAACCATCCCACGTAGAGAGGAGAAAGAAGAAGACAATGAAGAGTCAACAACAGAGGAGTGTAGCAACATCATTAATAACCCAAAGGCACAGCTAACGTTTTAGAGATATGAATTAAATTCAATTGGTGGAATTTCAATGTAATCAATTTCAAAAATGTGGAATTCGAAGTTAGTCTCCATTCTAATGACTACTAGAATGTAATAAAAATCCAACTGGATCACTTAGGTATTTTAAGGAAAGAAATCTGCCATCCTTACCCAGTCTAGCCTACATGTGAGTTTAGACCTGCAGCAAAGTGGTTGATTCCCAACTGGCTTCTCAAGTGCCAGGAAGATCCCAACTGATGTAGTTATAATGTTAGATTTATCTACTACTAGACATAAGTACTAACAATATCTACTTCCAAATCTTCAGGTCCACGGTCCTGAGAAGCAAATCAATGAATAAGAAATAAAAGTGGAATTAAAACCAACTTGCAGGTTTCATTAACCACATTGCCAAGAATGGGGCCTTGCTCATTTCTGAAGTCACATACAACAACTGGATGCCATAATTATTCCACCGTCTTTAAATCTCTTTTCTGTAGGGTCAAAGGACTGAGTGGCGCACTCATGTTCCTTGTTTATATGTTCAGACACTTCCTAATTTATTTACTGATCTTGTTTCACAACTTACTTCCATTATTTTGGAAACATTCTGCTAATTCACTACTACCAGTCATGGAAACAGGAAGATGTTATTAGACCATAAGACATAGAAACGTGAGTAGACCATTCAATCCATCGAGTCTGCTACGCCATTCAATGAAATCATTGCTGACCTGATAATTCTCAACTCCACTTTCTTATCTTTTACCCCAAACCCTGATTCCCTTCCAGGTTAAAAATGTGTCCATCTCAAACTCGAATATACTTAATGACCAAGCGTCAAGAACCCTGTGAGATAAAAAAAATCTTCAGATTCTCATCTCTGAGAAGAGATTCTTCCTCATCTTAAATATATGAAACCTTAATCTGAGATTATGCCCTCTAGTCTTCAACTTCCCACAGGGAGAGACAATGTTTCCACTTCTGCTCTGTCAAGCCCTCTAAGAATCTTGAAGTCATGTTGAGGTTGCACAGGACATCAGTGAGGCCTTTTCTGGAATACTGTGTCCAGTTCTGGTCACCCAATTATAGGAAGGATATTATTAAATTGCAGACGGTTCAGAAGAGATTTATCAGGATGTTGATGGGTATGGAAGGTTTGAGTTATAAAGAAAGGCTGGATAGGCTGGGAATCTTTTCACTGGTGTATGGGAAGTTAAGAGGCGACCTGATATAAGATTATAAAATGATGAGACGTAAACAGTCAATGGTAATTGTCTTTTCCCTAGGAGGGGTGATTTCAAGACTAGGGGGCACATTTTTAAGGTGAGAGGAAAGAAATTTTAAAAAGACACGATTGGCAAAATTTTTACAGAGGGTTGTTCGCTTGCGGAATGACCTTCCTAAGGAAGTGATGGATGTGAGCACAATTGCAACATTTAAAAGTCATTTGGATAGGTACATGAATATGAAAGGTTTGGCGAGATATGGGTCAGGACCAGGCAGGTGGGACTAGTTTAGTTTGGGATTATGTTTGCCATGGACCGGTTGGACCGAAGGGTTGTTTCCATACTGTATGACTCTATGGCTCTGAAGTCATCTCGTGTTCTTCTATATTCCAACGAGATCAGGTACAATCTACTCAACTTCTCCTCAAAAGACACTCCCTCGGTACCTGGTTTCAGCTTACTGAACCTTCTATAGACTGCCTCTAAAACCAGTGAATCTTTCCTTAGATAATAAGCCCAAAACTATTCAAAATATTCCAGTTGTGATCTGACTAGTGCCTTGTACAAACCTGAAAATGCCTCCCTTAAACCAACTCCCTGTTTTCTATTTGTTAGTCAGTCCTCTATCCACGCTAATTTACTAACACTATGGGCTCTTATCTTATTAAGAAGCCTAATTAAAGATACCTTATTAAACATCTTCTGAAAATCTAAATGTAAATTCTGATTGTATTCACTGCTTCCCCTTTTTTTATTATCTTGTTACCTCCTCAAAGACTTTTAGTTAATTTGTCAGGCACAATTTTCCCTTTGTGTGGCTACACTGCCTCTGCTTGATCATATTATGCATTTCTAAATGCTCTGCTATTACATTCTTTAGAATAGACACGAACATTCTTCCAATTACAGTCTGGCCTATAGTTAGGCCCGGACCCTTCTTCTGAAGAAGGGTCCAGACCCGAAATGTCTGCTTTATTGCTCCTCTGATGCTGCCTGGCCTGCTGTGTTCATCCAGCTCTACACCTTGTTATCTCAGAATCCAGCATCGGCAGTTCCTACTATCTCTGGCCTTTAGTTACCTTTTTTTAGTCTTCTTTCCTTTTCAAATACAGGTGTTAAAGTGGGCAGTTTTCCAGTTCTCCCGGACTTCTCCAGAATCTAAGGATTCCTGGAAGATTACTATTAGCTCATCCACTATCTCCATAGCCACTCCTTTTAATATTTTAGGTTGAAGCCCATCAGGTCCAGGGACTTAGTGGTCTTTAGCCCCATTAGTTTCCCTAGCAATTTTTCTTTAGTGATAGTTATTGTATTTGTTTGATGTTCTTTTGACCCTCGGAATGCTTTTAGTGGCTTCTATTGCAAAGACTGATGCAAAGTATTTATTCAACTCCTCTGTCATTTCCTGGTTTGCCATTGTTCTTTCCTCAGCCTCATCTCTAAGGGGCCTTGTAAAATTTAACTTCTCTATTCTTTTTTTATACATTTTATGAAGCTTTGCTGTACGTCTTCATATCATCCAAGACACTGCTCTTTACTATATCCAAAGTACTATACAGGAGACTTACCCAGGTTGCCTCTGACCCCTCTGTGAAATAGCGTTCTGTAGTTTCCATATATTGCTTAGAATTAGCGTTTAAAAGTAACATTAGGGAAATGAAGGGTGATTTTTGGTGATAACATACTTAGTATATACTTTAAGAAACTAATTTCTAGATCCTATAGGCCAGAAATAGTTTACCTAAAATCATAAAGATTAGAAGTTGGTCAGTAGGCCAAAAGTAAATTTACTATCATATGCAGAAGGAGGTTTATTTATTATTTTTCAAAATATCTATTTCTGCTGGATCAGATGCACCACACAGACCATGAGAAAATATTAACTACGCCATAGTTAGACATCTGTAAAATGACCTCTGAATTAAAGTATTCAGGGAGCCATGAAAAGAAACGCAAACATCTTCAAACCAGAACTCAAATATTGTAATAATGCATATGACTAGATTGTTGGCATGGAATGAAGTTGTGATCTAAGCAGATGTGTGATCATGTCATTTTTAAAACTTCATGAATGCTTTACATTTTGGGCCATAAAATTAATTTCAAATTGACTTATTTTTCCAACTCCACAAATAAGATCTTGAACACATACAAATATGATAAGGGAGACTCTTCAGGTATTTATTCGTAGTTATTTGTGCTTTCCATGGAATGAGATCAGTCAGGAAACAATCTTTGGATGACTTCTTGTTTCTCATTTCAGTAAAGTACAATAAATCACCCTTTGGCTTGAAAGAGAAACAAATTTACTCTAACAGCATAAGTCTGGCAGATTAAATCACCCGCTGTCAATTGTCAGCAAAAAGGCAGCCTGAAATGCTTCTAAAACATGCTGTAATTTCTTCAGTCGAAGTACTGTAGGAGAATCTACTAAAACTGTTAGTACTACTGTGTTAGCTAGCAAAGAGCATTGAACAGCGTGAGTGACAAAACCCATGGCGATAGCCTCCCACCATGAAAGTGTGGCTTTCATCATTAAAACATAAACTTCTTATTTAGAGCTCAAGTACTGGCAAGACCCAAAGGCCTTTGACAAAAACAAGGGGATGACATCTTATACAGGCTGCATCACTTTATAAAAAGCCTAAGAGTGACCAATAAAGTCTGTGTTGTGAACAACAACATACATGAAAAGTCAGGCTTCAGAGTTAAGGCAATTCTTTACTGAATCACCCATGGGCAGAACCTCTGTCTTTGTTCTAAAACTGTGCTGGGTACAAAAAAGTCTGTTGATCTCTTAGCTCCTGATTGGAATCAGAGTCTGCCAGGCAAGTGCTGTGGGATTAAACACAATGGGAAATCTATGACTGTGGGGTAGCTTATCTATGATCTTTTCTTTCTGGTGAACAATATTTTGGTTAAAATGTTGAATACATGTAATGCTTCATACCTTGTAAGTGATTGTAGCTACAAATTTTATGTCTGGATGATTGAAGGTGACTGTCTGCGAAAATCCATGGGCTGGCAAAATGGCTAGGATTTCAAAAGTAAAACAGACACATTAGAAATACATAAAATAATTGTGAAATGCAACTTTTAAGACATTCTATCTTCAGCAAAAGCTATTTATCAAAGGAAATCTATAGATTTATAGTTAAAATAGATATTTTCTCATATCATGTTTTCATTCTTTGGTGCACATAACCTTTATAAAGCTAGATAATAAAGGTATATTTACCTCTAGTCATTAGATTCTCATAACAGTCTATGCCTATTGCATCAAAATCCTCTCTCACCATGCAAAGAGGAAGACCTGTTTCCATCCAATGGTCAATGGCACAGGCAGCATGACTGGAATGAGGGTTTGATTTTGACTGTATAAATGCTCAACATAAAATATAGGCATGCTGCTCCCAAAATCCTGAGTACTTAAATGTCTCAGAAGCTTCCCTCACTTTCTTAAAATTACAGAAACCAGAGAATGAAAAAGAGGTATTTATCATTGTCAAGACAACACATTTAACAAAACAAACATTTTAGAAAATAATACATAAAATTATTTATGGAAATTTTAAATTGTACAACAGAATAAATCATTCTCACATATTTTGGTACCCCTGCCTAAGCAGAGGGTACAAAAGATAAACATGGAAAAACTTATTTTTAGGAAAATAAAATGGCTGATAGCTCATACATTACATTAAAGTTTTTTTTAAAAGTTATAACCAATAGGCTAGATAAGGGGGGAAATGAATGCCTTTAGTGTATTGCAGTTTTCAGGAAGTGTTCAATAAGGTGCCACACAAGAAGTCAATACACAAAATTAGGACTCATAAGATTGGGGCTAATGTATTAACATAAATTGAGCCTGGGTCGATGAACAGATAATATAGAATAGGAAAGGGGAAGCGCTGGTGCAGGAGCTTTGTCACTTGACTCATAATCTAGAGTCACAGATTAGTGTTCTGAAGACATGTTCAAATCCCACTTTGGCAGATGGGGTGATATTTGAATTCAATAGTAAAAAAGAATAGAGGTTAGGAATAGTTGGATCATTTTCAGGTTGACAGACTATAATTAGTGGGATTAGTCCAAAGATCAGTTCTTTGGCCTCAACTATTTACGATTAAAACTAATTATTTCGATGAGGGGGCCAAGCTTAAGTGTTTTCAAGTTTGCTGACAATACAAATTGAGCAGTGGAGATAAATTGTGAGGAGGATACAAAGAAGTTGCAAATGGATAATTGTTAAATGAGAAGACAAGAGCATGGCAGATGGAATATGAAGTGGAGAAGTGTGAAGATATCTACTTTGATAGGAAAAATAGAAAAGCAACACAGATTTTAAATGGTGAAAATGTGGAAATGTTTGTGTTCAGAGCGATGCTTATACACCGGTATAGTAAGCAAATGTGCAATATATCCAAGGATTGGGAAAGCAAATGGTATTTCAGCCTTTATTACAAAGGAGTTTAGATATCAGTATCTATTGCCTTACGGCAATTGCATAAGGTATTGGTGAGATTACATCTGGAGTACCGTGTACAGTTTTGATCTATCTATAATATAAACGCATCCTTACTTGGGTAAGAAGTGCACTAAATTTTCATATGATTGATTCCTAGAATCAAGTGATTGTCCCATGAGCAGGGATTGAATAAGTTAAGTTCATGTCTCCTAGACTTTAGAAGAAAAGACCTAATTGATACATATAAAATTATTAAGGGGTCTGCCAGTAGATGTAGAAGGATATTCCCTAGCTGAGAAATGTAGAACTTCAGCCCACCATCAATGCAGGTGGCTCACAACGCACAAACAATATTTGTTTCAGAATAGGCAGGGCAAGTTCGATTTGGGACTGCTGACCCAAGAAACAGGCAATTAGTGGCTGTGAGGGCAAGGAAGTGCTAAAGCAGGCTGGTTAGGAGGCCAGTTCTTTTAGAAGCTAGTAGGCTTGCCAGCCCTCAGCTCTCATACCCTCTCAACCCTCCATCCAGTCACCACACTATGCCTTCCACACTTGCCTTTAAAATGCCTCCTTAGCCACTTAAACAGCATCCACCATGGGAAGACCCAGCAGCCATGTGGAAACTTCAAAAATAATGATCTAATGCAGCATATATTCAGTATACCTAATATTGAAAACATTCTCATTTATGATTGTCATTCAAAACTTTATTAACCTGTTATGAAAAACAAATATATTTTATTCAGTAGCTACATTGACAACAGACTAATAAAGGGATTATCTGTTTTTAATCAAGCTGTGAACTTAGGAGCTTCTACTAAGATAACTGCAGTTCTTGAAACGAAGCCAAGAATTCATAATAAGATAAAATGGCTGTGAAAAATATGTATTAATAATTCTTGAAATTGTGGAATGGGTGATGATATTTGTTTTTTAAAAAAACTAATCTACAACATACAGCCCAACAGACCATGTTTTAATATTTAACTCTCAGGTCTGAATTTTTGCAGCTGTGATTCTGGAAGTCCACCCTTTCCAAGGAAGACTCCATGAACATCCTGTGTTGTACCCAAGAGCTCTGAATATTCATTCATTGATCAGTCTCTGTCTTTAATATGCTCAATGTTTTGTTAGAAAATGGTATACTAACGGATTGAAAGCATATTGAGAAAATCAATGAGGACAAAATTGATCGAGAAAATCAGTCATGTTCTCAATGAATGGGGGATCAGACCAAAGAGGCTGAATGATCTATTCCTGGTCCTATATATGCTCATACGTTCTTACAAGCTTGCTGAGGAACAGAAATTATTGTTTGTGAAATATAATTTACTTGAAGAGTAATGAAAATAGCTCTGTTCCACATTCCTATGATTTATCACCCATGGAATTTCTTCACAAAAATATGGGTTGGGGACATGAAAGAGCTCTTAATGGAAAGATTTCCTGTAAGTATATTGACAGCCTGTGAGGTTGAGAGCCATTGCTAGATTTTTTTAATGCACTTCAACTTAGATATACTATTAGTTTTATCAGAAAGCGTTTGCAGCTATTGTGCTGGAAAAAGGAGTAACTTGTTATATTCTTATATTCAAAAGGGAAGGAGAGAAATGTGAGCACTCTTTCAAGTGAACATCACTTTCCCACAAACAGGGCACATCCTGTTACGTTAGGCTCATTTGAAAATAGCTTTACAAAATAAACAATGAGCAACAAAATAGCACGAGAAGCTACAGTGCTTCCAGATTGTGATCTATATGTTCTCCAGAAGCATTGTGGGGAAAATAGAAAGGTGTTGAGAAATATGAAAAGAAATCCTTCCATGACTGAAAGCCTAAAGAAGACTCCATAGGGACCATTATATCCATTTTCTGCAATGATATTCACATCTATCACATATTCAATTTCAATGCTGCTATATCATTTATTATCCTGATACAAAAATGGGAATTAACATAAGGCTTTTGTTCATTCACCACAGATCATCAAGCCCTAATGACACTACATTTTCTGCTTTTCCATGACAGTGAAAAAGCTGCAAAATAAAAACGAAAGTCTAATTTTAGGCTTTCATCTTTGGGGCACGATAGACTTGATCTACAAAAACAGTGCCAGGGAAAAGGGACTGCAGAGAGACCAGAAAGCTGGAACTGTTTCCTTCACAGCAGAGAAGGTTAAGCAGAGATTAAATAGAAGTGTTCAAATTCATGAGCAACGTAATAAAGTTTCGACAAACAAGTGGGTCAGAAACCAATCGACACAGATTGAAGGTAATTGTCAAAAGAATCAGAGGGGTCACGAGGAGATTTCTTTTCACACAGTGAGTTGTTATGATTTGGACTGCATTGCCTGAAAGGGTGATGGAAGTATATTCTAAAAGTAACTTTCAAAAAGGAAATGGATAAATACTTGAAGGGGTAAATAAAACTACAGGACTATGTGGTAAGAGCTGGGGGATACCACTAATTGACAACTCTACTAAAGAGCTGGCACAGGTATCAAGTGTGCTACATGCTTCTATGGCCTCAATCGTACATATTTCTGCCTAAGTCCAAGTTGCATCTAATTCTTTAGAGAGTTTGTTGCCATTAAGTCTACAAATGCTTTTGCCTTATCTTTCCAAATGCGACGCATTAATTACCTACCCCACCTCTATAGCATCTCTCACATTCAATCTGGCCTCATCTTACCATACACTGTTCCCAGAACAACGTGCCACTGATGACATATCCCGGAATTCACCGCCATCCCTTGCACCATTACCCACTTTGAAAGCCTGTTATGCACCTGAACAAGTATTGTCAGTCTGAAGCTGCCCTGCATGGTTCCTGACATTTGCCCTGGTCATGGCTGACACACAATGCACTGGCCAGATCCGGAGGTCCTACTCATGCAGTGATGCAGAACTGGACTTCCTCTTTCCCAGAACTAGTAATAGCATGCCAGCCTGGTCTGAGATTGCCCCCTGGATCAAAGCAGTCTCAGCCGTCTAGAGGCATCCACAGCAATGTCTGAAGATGATCAGTCTCCTTCTCCATGTCACCAGGGTTTGCACAACCATCTTCTCTCCGACGCCTCACACCTACTCTATCTCTGCTACTTTATTCACCTCCCACCAACGCTCGTGCTCAATCACTCTCACTATTGCTCATAACATCTTGCCCATTCACTCTCACTCACCCCAATTCCTGACACCACTAACTCTATATGCCCTCTGCGCTGCCTACTCACTCACTTTGGACTTATCTGCTCAGAAACTAATAGCTGTGATATCCACTTTCATGTTTCTCTCTCATTCCAAGAGCAAAACAGCCCACAATAGGGCAGAGAAATGGGTGATTGAGCTGCCTGACAATCAGCTGAGCAGGCCCTGGACTAGTATTGGAGGCTGTCCTTGACAGGACTCCTGAAGCAAAAGAAATCCCCCCTAACTTTACCGAAGTCTGCTGACAACCAGGATAAGCTTCTTAACTTTACATCTGCACTAAATGGCATGGCAAGACAGCATTAATATGAGTAATATTGTATCTTTGGCTGAAGGGAAAAAGTACAAAAAGGTGAGGCA